TGTCTGACCGTGCATGCTGTAAGCCGCTGACCTCAGTGTCTGACCGTGCATGCTGTAAGCCGCTGACCCCAGTGTCTGACCGTGCATGCTGTAAGCCGCTGACCCCAGTGTCTGACCGTGCATGCTGTAAGCCGCTGACCCCAGTGTCTGACCGGGCATGCTGTAAACCGCTGACCCCAGTGTCTGACCGGGCATGCTGTAAACCGCTGACCCCAGTGTCTGACCGTGCATGCTGTAAGCCGCTGACCCCAGTGTCTGACCGGGCATGCTGTAGGCCGCTGACCCCAGTGTCTGACCGGGCATGCTGTAAGCCGCTGACCCCAGTGTCTGACCGGGCATGCTGTAAGCCGCTGACCCCAGTGTCTGACCGGGCATGCTGTAAGCCACTGACCCCAGTGCCTGACCGTGCATGCTGTAAGCCGCTGACCCCAGTGTCTGACCGTGCATGCTGTAACCGCTGACCCCAGTGCCTGACCGTGCATGCTGTAACCGCTGACCCCAGTGTCTGACCTGTGTGATCTAGAACACTTGCCCGTGTCTGACCTGTGTGATCTAGAACACTTGCCCGTGTCTGACCTGTGTGATCTAGAACACTGCCAAATAGCTAGCACTCCAGCCTCCTGGATCTTGTTAATGGCGTGCCACCTGCAGCTGGATGAAGTCAGCTTTCTACGGCTGACTCTCTAACAAATAGAACAAGCTTTATCTGAAACAATGCACCTCTCGGCACTCTCATAGCAGAGCGAGGGGGCAGTATACAGACAGAGATACCGGATACCCCGTGTGCCTTAATTCACACACTCGCTGCATGCTTGTGGATTTTATGTGATTTTACTTCCAGGGTTTGAAACTTGCAGTCCCATGCTACTAGCCAGGCCTTAAATGTTACTTGCAACTGCAAGCCATAGTGTACCCTCCAAAGGGGAATTTCTACTAGTCAATGGCTAGTGGAAATGTTGAGCTCTGATATATCCTCTCTCAGATCCGATGTCTACACAGGGAGACGATGTCAGTCGTTTACTCTTTCACTGCTGGAGATAGATCGATAGATATTTTTTCAATGATTATTATCTGGTGGACACTACCCACAGTAACTTCTAGACCAGCCACTACTGCTCACATTAATTCATTTCAATTACCTTAATAATTAAGTTACACGCAATTAACCCCTTGTATCCCTTCACAGGGAAAAATAAGGTAAGACCACAGCAATAATACTCCCAGTAATGTGTCTGAGTGTATGATAGAGCTTCACAGCAATACTACTCCCAGTAATGTGTCTGAGTGTATAACAGAGCTCCACAGTAATAATACTCCCAGTAATGTGTCTGAGTGTATAACAGAGCTCCACAGTAATAATACTCCCAGTAATGTGTTCGAGTGTATAACAGAGCTCCACAGCAATAATACTCCCAGTAATGTGTCTGAGTGTATAACAGAGCTCCACAGCAATAATACTCCCAGTAATGTGTCTCAGTGTATAACAGAGCTCCACAGTAATAATACTCCCAGTAATGTGTCTGAGGGTATAACAGAGCTCCACAGCAATAATACTCCCAGTAATGTGTCTGAGTGTATAACAGAGCTCCACAGCAATAATACTCCCAGTAATGTGTCTGAGTGTATAACAGAGCTCCACAGCAATAATACTCCCAGTAATGTGTCTGAGGGTATAACAGAGCTCCACAGTAATAATACTCCCAGTAATGTGTCTGAGTGTATAACAGAGCTCCACAGCAATATTACTCCCAGTAATGTGTCTCAGTGTATAACAGAGCTCCACAGCAATAATACTCCCAGTAATGTGTCTGAGTGTATAACAGAAATCCACAGTAATAATACTCCCAGTAATGTGTCTGAGTGTGTAACAGAGCTCCACAGCAATAATACTCCCAGTAATGTGTCTCAGTGTATAACAGAGCTCCACAGCAATAATACTCCCAGTAATGTGTCTGTGTATAACAGAGCTCCCCAGCAATAATACTCCCATTAATGTGTCTTTAACCTACAATAAATGTCTTTAGAAATCAGTCTGTGTAAATAAATTACATTAGTTGGATAAATTATTAGAATGTTAGAACAGCCACGTCCCTGGCCACACTCCTAAAATAAAAGGGTCTCTTTGTCCATGTGAAATGTTATATCGCGTTATATCCCCTTATATCGCAGTTATATTCCGTTATAGTGCGGTTATATTCCGTTATATTCCATTATACCGCAGTTATATTCTGTTATAGTGCGGTTATATCCCGTTATATCACAGCTATATTCCATTAAATCCCAGTTATATTCCATTATATTGCAGTTATATTCCGTTATATTCCATTATATCCCTCGAACGAATTGTGTATGCGAGATTGACAAACTTCCTCGAGTCCAACTCTGCTAGACCCGATTCAGTCTGGTTTCCGCGCGAAGCACTCTGTGGAAACGGCACTGACCAAAGTATCCAGTGATCTACTTGCTGCAAAATCTCGTGGTCACTACTCTATGCTAATTCTCCTTGACCTGTCTGCGGCTTTTGACACTATTGATTATCAACAGCTTTTTCTCATCCTCTGCAATATCGGTCTACAAGATATTGCTCTCTCCTGGTGCTCCTCCGACCTCTCCCAGCGCTCTTTCAGTGTTTCTTTCTCTGGCTCTGCTTCTTCTCCCCAACTCCTCCCTGTTGGTGTCCCCCAAGGTTCAGTCCTTGGTCCCCTATTGTTCTCCATCTATACTGCCTCCCTTGGTAAACTCATTAGCTCCTTTGGCTTCCAATATAATTTCTATGCAGATGACATGCAAATCTACCTGTCCTCTCCTGATCTCTCCCCGTTCCTCTTGACTAGTGTCTCTGACTGCCTCTCTGCTGTTTCTAACTGTATGGCTGCCCACTTCCTAAAACTAAACTTGACCAAAACTGAAATTCTGGTCTTTCCTCCCTCAAGTGTTGTTACTCCTGTGTCTGTCTCCCTCCAAGTCAATGGTGCTACCATCAGCTCCACTACGCAGGCTCGCTGCCTAGGTGTTCTCTTTGACTCCGACCTCTCCTTCAAGCCTCATGTTCAATCTATCGCCAAATCCTGTCATTTCCATCTCAAAAACATTGCGCGCATCCGCCTCTACTTAACGCCAGATGCGACTAAGGTGTTGGTCCATTCCACTGTCCTTTCTCGCCTTGACTACTGTAATCCGCTTCTCAGTGGTCTTACGTGCTCCCAACTTGCGCCGTTACAGTCCATAATGAATGCGGCAGTGAGGCTTATCTTCTTGTCCGCCCGCACCTCCCATGCCTCACCCTTCTGTCAGTCCCTATATTGGCTTCCTATAAAATATAGAGCTCAATTTAAAATTCTGGTTCTTGCTTTCAAATTTCTACATAATGCTGCTCCCACCTATCTTTCCTCCCTTATACACAAGTACGTCCCGTCTAGGCCCTTACGCTCTGCTGAAGACTTACGTCTATCTTCTGTCCGTACTCCCACCTCTGATGCTCGCCTTCAAGATTTTTCGAGGGCTGAACTGTTCCTGTGGAACTCGCTTCCCTCCTCTGTTAGATGCTCACTCAGTCTCCACTCCTTCACAAAATCGTTAAAAACCCACTTCTTCATAAAAGCGTGTCAATTAAACTGTTAATAGCTCCTGACTGATTCCTCTTCTGCAACTTTCACTAGTCTAATACTATCCTTACCTTTTTGTGTCATTTTACCCAACTCCCACTAGCATGTAAGCTCATTGAGCAGAGCCCTAAACCCCTCTGTTCCTGTGTGTCCAACTTGTCTGGTTACAACTACATGTCTGTTCGTCCACCCATTGTAAAGCGCTGCAGAATTTGATGGCGCTATATAAATATCATAATAATAGTTATAATCACAGTTATATTCGGTTATATCGCAGTTATATCGCAGAACTCTCAGTAAGAATAATCCCCCCATTTATAAAGACGCTTTAGATTCATACAATACTTATGTGGAGTCTCTCACACAGTATGTTCTTCAGTTGCTCAAATACATAAAGAAAACCATAAATAAAACAAACAGCATAAATATGCTTTATTTTTGTTCTATTTACGTTTTTCTGTTTTATGTGTGAACATACTGTGTGATTGATTCCACGTTTCTCTGTATGTCTCGAGAATAGCGAACTCACAGCCATTGACTAGAACTCAGAGCCATTTCATCCAATAAAGGTTCTGCAAAGCATTCAGTCTATACTGCGCCAATCACGGTAATGGGTTCTCGACCTCCATCCTGACCCTCACTATTACAATCCGCACAGCCCTGAGGACCCCCGGGACACAGGCGGACACTGGCTTAGTGACCATCCACAAACATCTATAAAACATCGGATTGGACTGGGTGGAAACTGGAATGGCAGTAATGCCCCCAAAATGCTAGATTTGGAAACATGATTAAACTCTTATCACTGCATGCTTATTCAACCTAAATCTAGGAAATGGGGGGTTATTATTAACATTTATATAGGGTTAACATATTCCACAGCGCAGTAAAAATATACAATGGGGGTATAAAGAAATTATTGATTGAGAGATGAAGACCCTGTTCAAACCGGCTCACAATCTAATACGATAAATATAGATTGTGACAGACAATAGACTTTGTTCACTAATCACCAACTTGTAGTGAATTAAGCAAAGTTTAGGCAAAAGTAGCCAAGCTGTCACTAGAGGGGAGCAAGTGACTTTCCAAATTAACTATTTTTGTGTAAATGTTGGCCAACACAATTCAGCTCACCGTGCGTGTTAGAGTGTTCTATATTCCTGATGGCGTGAGTGCGCTGTGTATGAAAAAGTCACGGCCAGTAACTAAATCGTGCATTCTCGGGCAGAAAATTAGACATTCACACCAAAACAACAAGTAGAAGCATTCAGTTTGTCCTAAAATTTGAAATTAATTTAGAATTTCTGATAATTCCCATTTTAGAGACCAGTGCTGAGTGTATTTCGAGTGATGGGCTGCATGTATATTGAGTGATGGGCTTCATGCGCCGCGAGCGAGTGATGGGCTGCGTTTATATCAAGTGAACAACATTTTTTCTACAGTGAGTAGATCGAATGATCAGCTGCAGAAAAAGTTTTGTTTTAAATACTTGTATATTGTACAAAGTGTGATAAAGGTTACTGCTTCATTTAGAATAACTATTGCATTTACAGGCAAAGTAACAGTAAATGCTTGATTACCATCTCCTCTTACACAGCTATCAGGACACGTACCTCTCCCCCTCCTAATACAGAGCTATCAGGACACGTACCTCTCCCCCTCCTAATACAGAGCTATCAGGACACGTACCTCTCCCCCTCCTAATACAGAGCTATCAGGACACGTACCTCTCCCCATCCTAATACAGAGATATCATGAGAAGTACCTCTCCCCTTGTCCTAATACACAGACATTGGGAGACTTATCGAGAGATAGATATATATATACATATACACACACACACACAATTTAA